CCTATTGTGTCAATGTCGGCAGGTAGGGTGTAGGACTGTCTGCAGGCCTATTGTGTCAATGTCGGCAGGTAGGGTGTAGGACTGTCTGCAGGCCTATTGTGTCAATGTCGGCAGGTAGGGTGTAGGACTGTCTGCAGGCCTACAGTTTAATGAACGGCATATATTACAGACAATAAGAAGTTAGTTCTTTTTTTGTGTGTGTATAGCAATCGGACCGACCGGGTATGTTCTCAAAACGCCCGGTCCCGGTGTAAAACAAACAAGTGTGCACACAGTTAAGCCCTGTTATCAAATGTTCTCCTTAATGAACAAAATCCAACTGGCCCATGCAAGGGGAATCTCAATGTGTGTAAAAGAAATAGTAATGGGCTAATAAAGATCTCTTTAAGGGGTTGAAGGTGTCCTTCGGCGTGGCCGTATGTGTCTCACAACGCTGGTCTAACCTGAGACTGCGATATGATCAGGCAGGTCTTTGTCTAAAAAAACGGAATGGGGCTTTATCTTGGTGCTGGTGTGAACTGATTGCTAACAGGAAGCTGAACACAATTATAAAGTATGCGATAAAGATGGAATGTCTGGGGAGGAAAAAAATGGTGGTGTCCCGGAAGTTGAGCTCAGGTGTTGTGTTACGGCCCCTGGCTCATTAACCTATTTTATGCCCCCTTTATGTCAATAAATGGCCACACATTTGTGCAGGAAACTTCTCAAATTGCTCAAATCTTGTTAACTTTAAAGATAATATTAATAATATTTGCATTCTATGTTGGTTTTCACTACCGGCCAATTTGAAGGATTCAATCCTATGTGCGTTGTTTCCTACGCTATATTAGTAACAAGCGATTTAATGTCCTGATTGTGAGACCGACGCCTAAAGCTGTGTACGTCTTAAGTGAGCGATAACATTTACAGAGCTTCTTCAAAATAAAATTGGTAAAATATGTCGATGAGGTTTTAATTCTTCTTTTATTACCTCATCACTTTGTTACTAATGCTGTCAATGCTAGAGTCATGTCCATCTCTATCACGGATCATTTCTTGAATAAATTTAATATTCTCCTCTAGAGCACATTTTAATTTTATAAAAAAATATTAAGTGACACATATTATTGCATTCCTCTTCTCCGCCATTAATTTTGACACTCGAAGTGAACATGAGCTGATTACGTCATTATATTAAATGTAACTTGCATACCCAACAAACTGACAAGACTGATACGTTTAACATTAAAGAACTCAAAGAGCAAAATCAAGGTTCAAGGACAATATTCAAGGGAATTTCAGAATAGACGACGCCCAAGACAAGGAGGCATATTTAACCTACTTTAGAGAGAGAGTTATTAGAGGCTTACATCTTCACATCCGGGAAACATTAGCAGGACACTTTCTGAGGGAGACCCAAGAGCCACAACCAATAGGCACTCGCTAAAAAATCAATCCCTTCAGCATCTTGCATATGCTGATTACACTGTTTGGGGATTGTAGTAAGACATATCAAAAGCTTGAATTGAATTAGAAGACGCATCGCTACAAGCAGGAGCTGGAAGTTAACAACCAAAGAACAAAAATACATAACTATGTTAAGAGAAGAACAGACATAATAATACCATTAAAATTAGAAATTACATTTTTTTTAAAAACGTAAATCAATTCAAACGCCTTGGATCTTTAATTAAATGAAAGAAACGAATTACTAACAAAAATAAAAGAACGAATATCGACAGAAAACAAGGCATACTTCAGCAGTCAGAAAATACTCTAAAGTAAAAACTTTACAAGAAAAACCAAGAAAACTATTTACAAAACTGTGATCAGACCAGTTGTAACATACGCAAGTGAGACGTGGACGCTAACAAAATCGGCAGAAAACTTATTAAACACATGGGGGAGAGAAAAGTTTTCCACAAACACTATGGACTAGTAAAGGATGAGTATTCGTATGGAGAATACGTACCAACCATGAATTGTATAGTCTATATCAGGATCCCACGCTAGTAGCAGAAATAAAAGTAAGGGCAGGCTACGCTGGGCGGGACATTTAGAGAGAATGCCGAATGACAGAGGAGTGAAGACGGTGCACCGCCAAAACCCCAGAGAAACGCGGCTCAAAGGAAGACTTAAGTTGAGATGGATGGATGATGTGGAAAAAGATCTAAAGCAGCTGGGAATCCAAGCATATACAACAAAAGCATCAGTTTGGTCTGAGTGGAAGGACTCGGCGAGACAGGCCAAAGCCCTACATCGGCTGTAGCGCCACAGGGGTGGATACAGTGGTTCTCTACCTTGGCTCCCGTAGCCCTTGGGTTTCACAATTTGTTAATGTAATGTATGATAGGGAGGTGACAGCATGGGTTGGCCACGAATTTGCAACCACCTGCCACGATAAAAATCTATGCAGTAGGCCGAAAAAGCCGCTCACCAATAAATTGAAAAAAAAAAGGCTTCCAGGCTGTACCGTTCTTTCCGCTGAACATTACTACGTCCCTGGTACTATCCACCAAAACATCTAACAGCCGCCCCCCCCCTACCCACTTTCTTCTGCCGAGCAAATTGTCTGAAACACCCATTGTGCACAAGAAACGGGGCGAAGAACATTGTCACGTTGTTCAATTTAATATTTAATGATATGAAGGGCTCTGTCTGGTTATATTTTACTTATGATTCCTTTGTACGCTTGGCTCATGTGCACATTCCTCTTGCTGTCCTCTCGGATACTAAATTTTACTTGTAGTTTATTGTAATAGTTCATATCGTTTTGACTGTAGTTTGTTCGACGAAGAAGGCATCTTGCCGACTTGTATCTTGATTTGTTGTGTCTTTTTTAATGTAACATAATTTGTATCAACGATGTTGCCCAATATGCACTTAGAAGTACAACACTGTTGCCTTTTATGCATTCAGAAGAACAACACAGTTGCCCTTCATGCTCTCAGAAGTACAACTATGCTTCTAATCAATTCACAAAAGTACAAGAAGGCTACTCAACATGCACTCAGACATACAACATTGCTTCCCAACATGCACTCGGGCATACAACATTGCTTCCCAACATGCACTCAGACATACAACATTGGTGTCCAATATGCACTCAGACGTACAACATTGCTTCCCAACATGCACTCAGGCATACAACATTGCTTCCCAACATGCACTCGGGCATGCAACATTGCTTCCAAATATGCACTCAGACATACAACATTGCTTCCCAACATGCACTCAGACATACAACATCGCTTCCCAATATGCCCTCAGACATACAACATTGCTTCCCAACATGCACTCAGACATACAACATCGCTTCCCAACATGCACTCAGACATACACATTGCTTCCCAACATGCACTCAGGCATACAACATCGCTTCCCAACATGCACTCAGACATACAACAAGGCTTCCCAATATGCACTTTAACCCTAACCACAGTCTCATTCAAGGGATTGCACACGAAACTACCAACATAATAAAGTACAAATCTTTATTCAGACTGGATTTATTCCGATAGCCGTGCAAACAAACTGGTCGTAGAATGTGCAGCTACATTACAATAACAATCACAAAATGATACATTTCGTTTGGTGTAATGTACTTCTGTTATCAGATTACAAGATACAAGATGATGTAACATAATCCGACAGTTTAAACAGAAACCATACATAGGTCAAGACATTGACGAACTCCGACTCTACAAATACATTAACGGAATGTCACATTTTTATTTTAAAAATGTTTTAGTTTACATTTCCCTAAAAATCCAGGAACCCAAAGCGACGAGAATCAAAACAATCGATGAAAGATGGCCTCTTGCAGCATTACCAAGACATTTGAGGTCAAGGCCCCCTTCAATATCTTTGAGGTGTCGTATTCTGCCTTGTAGACCGGTCGTTATGGGGCTGTTCTTCTTTATGTAATTGATCAGTATGTCAGTATCTAGGCTCCCTGATATGAAAACAAGATGAAAGCTTTAAGCATAGATTGAATAAACTTAAATTTTTTCAAAGATGAATTAGCATTTGTTAGATGAGGGTGCTGTGTGTATGCCCCTGTATGTGTCTGGCTGTAATGATTTTAGCTTAAACAATGTAACAAATGTACTAAAAAATGTTGCTATGTTATAGTGATAGTGATAGATAGTGGTTCTGTTATAGTTTTTGTGCTAGACTGTTGCTTTGTTACATTTTTTGTGCTAGATTGTGGCTCTGTTATAGTTTTTGTGTTAGACTGTTGCTTTGTTACATTTTTTGTGCTAGATTGTTGCTCTGTTATAGTTTTTGTGCAAGACTGTTGCTCTGTAACAGTTTTTGTGCTAGATTGTTGCTCTGTTATAGTTTTTGTGCTAGATTGTTTCTCTGTTATAGTTTTTGTGCTAGACTGTTGCTTTGTTACATTTTTTGTGCTAGATTGTTGCTCTGTTATAGTTTTTGTGCTAGACTGTTGCTTTGTTACATTTTTTGTGCTAGATAGTGGTTCTGTTATAGTTTTTGTGCAAGACTGTTGCTCTGTAACAGTTTTTGTGCTAGATTGTTGCTCTGTTATAGTTTTTGTGCTAGACTGTTGCTCTGTTATAATTTTTGTGCTAGACTGTTGCTCTGTTATAGTTTGTGTGCTAGACTGTTGCTTTGTTACATTTTTTGTGCTAGATTATTGCTCTGTTATAGTTTTTGTGCTAGACTGTTGCTTTGTTACATTTTTTGTGCTAGATTGTTGCTCTGTTATAGTTTTTGTGCTAGACTGTTGCTTTGTTACATTTTTTGTGCTAGATTGTTGCTCTGTTATAGTTTTTGTGCTAGACTGTTGCTTTGTTACATTTTTTGTGCTAGATTGTTGCTCTGTTATAGTTTTTGTGCAAGACTGTTGCTCTGTAACAGTTTTTGTGCTAGATTGTTGCTCTGTTATAGTTTTTGTGCTAGACTGTTGCTCTGTTATAATTTTTGTGCTAGATTTTTGCTCTGTTATAGTTTTTGTGCTAGACTGTTGCTCTGTTATAATTTTTGTGCTAGATTTTTGCTCTGTTATAGTTTTTGTGCTACTTTGTTGCTCTGTTTTAGTGTTTGCACTAGACTGTTGCTCTGTTATAGGGTTAGTGCCAGACTCACCCAAATTGTATCTTTTGATGATGTTACTGGGCAGCATGCTGAAGCCATCTCCGCCGCCTATAATGAAACTAGCTGCAAGAATTTTGTAAACACTGTCCTTCTTGAGTGGCTCCAGTCGAGGGACATCACACTGTGTGCATGTGACTAGGACCTCGACAACTCGTTTACCCACGGGTCTGCGTATGTCATAGGTCACCTGCATTCCTGTTGGCATTATTTTTTAACAGATAACATGATTTTTTTACAAAAAAACATATGATTTATTTCCAGCAAACATATGATTTATTTCTAACAAACAATTTATTTTATGTACTTTCTATCCTAAAGTGATGTCATAGTATGTCCAATGTGTACTGCCTATCCCAGTGGTCGGTAAACTCATTAGTCAAAAGAGCCAAAAATCAGTAGCAGGACGATCAAAAAATTTTGAGAGCCAAATTTCTTTTCAAGACACTGCCAAGAACCCTGTTTTCGGAGCCAAAACCGATTTGTGGCCGACTGGCTGACCACATTCAGGTTGCTAAAGATCCGCATGCGACTCGCGAGCCCTGATTTGCCGACCACTGGTCTATCCTAACACAAGGTCATAGTATTTCCCTTGTGTACTGTCTACCCTTAAAAAATGCCATAGTATGTCCCTTGTTTATTATCATACCTGACACCTGTAGGAACCCAGCAAAAGTATCAGAAAAATCCTCAGACCACTTTTCAGCGCAGAACTCGAACATGGACAACATCGTCTGTCCCGTCACTTCTATCATGTCCACGGTGTTTCTAAACGGTGCCACAAAAACAGCATTTTCCACGGTGATAGGACCTGTTGGACAGAACGGTACAAAACCACATCAGATATATAATACTCGACAGACCTAAAGAATAGATCGATAGAAACGCATGGTGCCCTTCCCTTGGGGGTTGGGGGGGCGGAGGGGCATTGGATCATTGGGCAACCTGAGCATTTTTTTCCATAACGTCATAATTTGTAAGGGCTGAAAGCAAAGCATCAACTAGGTCTGAGTGGAAGGAAGTGGTGACGCGGGCCAAAGACCTACATGGGCTGTAGCGCCACAGGGATGGATGAATGGTCTGAGTGGACGGAAGTGGTGAGGCAGGCCAAAGACCTACATGGGATGTAGCGCCACAGGGATGGATGAATGATAGGAGTGAAAGGAAGTTGTGAGGCAGGCCAAAGCCTCTACACGGGTTGAAGCGACACAGGGATGGATGGAAATCTTGTTGTGAGAACAACATGGGGCGATGCATATTGTATCAACACATCACCCTCAAGGTCAAGGTCATTTTTTTCCTTAAAATTCCACGATGGACCCATGGTGTCTGTAAAAGGGATTTTTTCTTTTTATTGAATGGTACACCCAACTCACTAGGGGCATAAGATGATGTGGGGGGGGGGAAGTGTTCCGCCCCGGACATCACATTATTCTATATATGGAGGGGTGGCTTTTCGGCCAACAGCAGAGCTTTTTCGTGGGAGAGGCTGCGAAACTCTCGACCCGCCCCTGTCGACCCTAGACCTCTACAGCTACGCCACTGCATTCAACTACAAATACAGTTTTATTGAATAGCACAACAAACAACAAACAACTAAAAGGGGAATGTAAGGCTCTAAGTTTATCCGAAGATTCGTATTTTGACAAGAGTCTGCCCTTAACGAATATCAGACTTCAAAACGTTTTTGCTAAGACCATATTAATTTTGTGGAAAAAGGCAATCAGATTTCAGTAGTTATATGGCACATGCTTGTTCTTTAATACGTTTTAAAACTCAAAAAGCTTTTCACGTTGCTCCTATTTTAAATACGTTTTCTCATCTTATGGACGTTGTATTGACCATTTTAAAAATGGAATCCGTTGTTTTTTTCTTACCAACTTTGATCGGCGCCCTCAGACTCCCGCCGTTGGCGATGGCCATGCTGACGTCACTCCATGAGGCGGAGTTGTTATGGCGAAGATTCAAGTACAGACACGCGTCGGCGAATAGGTTACCTGCGATGACCAATCCATAATTAGAAGCTCAAGGTCACATTTTTACATAAATACGATGTCACATTCATCAATCAAGTGTTTCACAGCAGGGATAATTTGTCATTTCCAAAATAAAATAAATCTGCATACATTTGTAGAGAGTATGGACACATGAAACAATGACGTCATAACTTGATTGGAACGTAACAGGGTAAAATATTTACTACATGATAATCAAATGGAGCATAACAAATGTCACATTCAATTGATGTCAGTCGAAAAAAAATAGATATGTATATTGTATGATTAATGTATGTCTCACCTAAATTGCACTCGGTTGTCCTGCATTTGACCTTGTCATTGCTTAAACTCACGTACGTGTGACCTATGACCTCGGTTTTGGCTTTCTCCAACTCAGGCAGGTACTTGGCTATGACAGCCAGGATCTCGGGATCTGAAATGTCAGACGTCTTCATTAGGCGGCCACTCTCACATTCAGTCCCCCGTTAGTTTTGTACCCACCCCATTAATCTTGGTGGTTTTTCCAGTTAAACAAGAGCCGTTATTCTAATAATTGGCTCATCGTTTGGCCCATTTTTTTTTAGTTTTGGTGTCTCCAAATAAAACTCTCCTCTGCCTTACGTCGACAAAACCCTGGCTTCATGCTACATCATCAAATTCCTCATTAAATGCTACATCATCAAATTCCTGGTTAAATGCTACATTATCAAATTCCTGGTTAAATGCTACATTATCAAATTCCTGGTTAAATGCTACATTATCAAATTCCTGCTTAAATGCTACATTATCAAATTCCTGATTAAATGCTACATCATCAAACCCATGGTTAAATGCTACGTCATTAAAGTCCTCGTTAAAGGCTACTGCATTATACACCAAAAGATAAATCTCAATAAAAAAAAGGTGTGTAGACAGCGTTGTCCTGTGTGTGTGTGTGTGTGTGTGTGTGGTATAATGTTGTACTCGATGAAAGTTCCAGCAACTGCTGACTCTTTTGACATCCCTGCTGCCAAGCTGTGTCGGCCATTAGACGGCATATCGGACTCACCAGATTCCTGGACACGTCAAATGAACAGTTTCCATGACTGAAATTAACTAGGGGTATGATGGTTGCACTCACTTTGGGGTAAGATGGTTGCCCTTACATTGGGGTATGATGGTTGCACTCACTTTGGGGTAAGATGGTTGCCCTTACATTGGGGTATGATGGTTGCACTCACTTTGGGGTAAGATGGTTGCCCTTACATTGGGGTATGATGGTTGCACTCACTTTGGGGTAAGATGGTTGCCCTTACATTGGGGTAAGATGGTTGCCCTTACATTGGGGTAAGATGGTTGCCCTTACATTGGGGTAAGATGGTTGCCCTTACATTGGGGTAAGATGGTTGCCCTTACATTGGGGTATGATGGTTGCACTCACTTTGGGGTAAGATGGTTGCCCTTACATTGGGGTATGATGGTTACAATTACGTTGGGTTTGATTATGGCAATTACCTTGGGGTATGATGGTTGCACTCGCTTTGGGGTAAGATGGTTGCAATAACATTGGGCATGGGTGTAGCCCTAACCTTGGGGTATAGTGTTGAACTTACCATGGGGTATGATGGCTGCACTCACTTTGGGGTAAGATGGTTGCAATAACATTGGGCATGGGTGTAGCCCTAACCTTGGGGTATAGTGTTGAACTTACCATGGGGTATGATGGCTGCACTCACCTTGGGCTACGCTGTTGTTAAGCAGGACCGGGTTTCCCCACCATGACGTCACCTTGCCGGCGTCGTCGAACCTCAGATGGATCTCTCCCAAATATTTCCCATAGGCGTAGTCCTGAACTACGAGACCCTTTTCTCCATTGGCCAACTCGACGACAGTGGGGTAGACGCCTAGAGGTTTCTCAGTGGATGGGGCTGTCCCTGTCACCAGACAACAAACATTTGATCCCACTTATCTTAAGTCAGCGATCTCTGACAGACTCACATGCTTAGTCCTCTAATTCCATGACCGACAAATTCATTGTTATCACTTTGAATTTTTTTAATAAATTTTTTTGTTGCAATACTTCAAAAGTAATAAAGAAAACTTGTTATTGGCGTGCCCCCTTTTTATTGATTTGTTTTCATTTGTGTTTTGTTTGTATAGAACTGTCAGCCATTTACCAGCAGAATAGAATTGATATTTGATAAGCACGGCGAGTCCTGTATACAGTGGTCACATAATTGACGTACTCCAGGGTGAAAACGTGTTTCGGTTACCCAGGTGACAGTGGTGTTGATTATATCCCCCCGCCCCCCACGATGGAAAGCAGCTGCTTCCCCCCCCCCCACACCACCTTGTTCAGACGACACTGCCACACATCACGTTAAAATGTTGCACAATTGTACAAACGCTTTACACATGACATGCGATCTAGTTTAATTACACAAAACATCAGTGAAATCAAATGTAGCAGGCCACGGGGCAGGCTCATCTCACTAACTAATGGATTTGTTTTAATGGAATTGTGTCGGTAATGGCAGCATCAATTCAATTTTAGCCTCGTGATCACCATCAGCGGTTTAAACACATTTTCTGAACGCCTTTGGAAGAAAAAAAAGGTGGCTCGGGGGGGGGGGG